CAGTTAGTCTTAAAATGTTGAACGTGGATCACTTAGGGTGTGTTGACAGTGTTCCTTTAAGCGAATCCAAAAACAGATTTCTGATCCGAGATTTGCCGGATTTCGCGGTCGAAAGGAACGTGAAATCCGAAATTGGATTTGTGACCTTGGTAACCTTTTGCAAACGCGTGTAATTTGCATGAGCCTCTCAAGAAATGACATGTTTTGTACTGTTTGACAAATTATGCGATTATACGGTGCTGAATTTTGTGGTCGGTACTTCGAATAACGACGATGGAACATAAACAGATCAAGAAAGGAGAGCGTTAAAGTTGAAAATTTATTTTTAAGGTTGTCGGCTAAGTTTGATCCAGTTTCGTAGCTCGGTTTTTTATGTAACACGATCGAGTGCCTATCGCGTCCACAAGCGAGTTTGTAGAAAGATAGCAGTTATTTGTCCCTAAGTTTTACTTATTTGTGTTTTTAAGCAATCTTTAGCGACAAATGGTCAGCACATGGATATTTTACTGTACCACTATGAACAATCTTCTAGTGTTTTCAGATGTTTTACGGCAAATGGCAGCAGTTAGGAAACTCTACGGGAATACTTCAACTGGAAATACAGCTGGATCATCTGACTAATTTCGAATCCACTGTGAATGGAACAGCGTCGATCACTAATCCGTTAATCTGGATTCAGATTCTACCGATTTTAAATCCAATGTGAGTCCTTTTTCAAAAAGGATTCACCAGATCAAAAATCCGAATTTGGATTTGCCGAAAGGAACTCTAAATCCGTTTTTAGATCGAAAATCCGTTTCTGTATTCACCGAAAGGGACACACCCTTAATTGTGAATGGCGATGTATAGGTGTTCTGTACGCGAAAGGTTAACTGAGAAATTGCACAACTGTAATGGTTTCTTTGCAACGCATCGCTATCCCCCTTTTCTACAATTCCGACAAGGACAAAGAATTTTCTTTCAATTTCCGACAGCGACGTGAAGCATTAATAAACACCGACACGAGACGTTTTAAAATTCAGACGAGCGACATGGGAGCCCCCCCTGGCAGGGCCTCTCTAAGGCTATTTTTACACGGGACCAGTTTGTTTCTATCAAAAATCTTGCAAGCCATGCCAGTGAAGCCACGACCACTGCGATCGGTTCGGAATCAGTTCGAACACCCCATGATTCCTTGCAATGAATAATGCTCTTATTCTCTTACATGAAATGTTTTCTTTGAAATATTAAATGTGAAACCTAGACGAGTACTGTAAGCTCATCTTTAATTCTGTCCGTCGACTCCGTCCGTTGTTTTGAAAATGTTTGAGCACTGGGGCGATGTTTTGATTTGTTTGTTGATAAACACAAGCGCGCCTTCTCATTGGTTGAAAAGTGTCGCGTGACCAGCTGGCCCTGTCCTTAAATTTAGGGATATTCCGGACTGTATAGGTGATTTTGGAAATTTTTTTAACGGTTTAGCTAAAGCCCACGCGTGCCTCGATCGTCCTGAATATTGAATGATAGCAATTTGTATTACAAACTTGTGAAATACTGCATTCTGTTGTCCGAGGTCTGTATGAGAAAAACAGTGCCTCATAGTACTGTTTTGCCTCAGATGTGATGTATAAATGATATAAAAGGTTAGTTTACACGCACCCAGATTTGTTGGCAAGATTTTGTAAAGTAAACTTGTCGAACGCAAAAAAATTCGGCCTAATTAATCAACGGTGATCAAGAGCCATTATCTTAATAAATGTGATCGAAGATGATTGCCAGTTTTTGGGTGTACATATGAGGCTATAAAAAAAAATCAAGTCGATGTAAGACTTGGTTCATTCGTGGGCTGTTTGCAAATTATTTTTTTCTAAAATCACTTAGCCTTTCCCCGAAGAGCCACATGAATGTGCTCTAACGTTAACTGAATTGTGGAAGACAAGTTTATTGTTTGATTTAAATTATAAATTTATTAATGGGAGCCTCGCTTTTAGCCCTGGCTAAATCTATATATACACACATGAAGTAAATAAAGTAGAGAGTGTTTGCGTACATCAAGGACTTGACTTGTGTCCTATTTATAGATAATATTGAGCACCTTTTTTCAGGCAATGCTGCCAATTTGCATGTTTCTTTCCTATTGGTATGAGTCATAGAATGTCTTAAAACAGTTTCGAAACTGAAAATGGCGTATTTGTGATTACAAAGCTTGATGAAGTCGATAGATTTTAAAAGTTACAAGAATTAAGTTTATGAGATATTCAGCCACTATTTGTTTAATGATTGTGTCAGTATATGCACAAACATATGTTATTACATATTTTTTGTATTATAAAAGCTCTTCAAAATGTGAAATTCATACCCATGTTTACAATCTTCTGTAATCAGGGACAACATGGAGCGAGACCCCTTTCCTTTCTTGTGATCCCCCTCCCTCCCCCAAATTTTGCCTAATAGGCCATTTCCGAGTTTCTCCGGGCCTCTGTTTCAAAACAAGGGTAGGTACTTCGTGCTCCATGTTTAAGATTGAAATGAAGAATTTTGATCTGTTTTTCTTCACAGAAAAAATCTAAATAAATATTAGTCTATGAAATTGAGAAAAAATATCTAAGAAAAGGACTATATCTGTTGAAAAACAAAGCATATAGCCTGCCAAATTTCTTGACCTTGAAAATTCTACATCTACAATGCATCACAATCGTAGTGCGCACACCACCTGGGAATAAGTAATGGTAACAATACTGAGCGGAGTACAATTCAGGGAGTAAGCAGGCAAGTAACTTCAATTTGACTGAGCGCGTAGCCGGAGGATTTGAAATTACAAGCACTATTACCCCTTCCAAAGCAAAAACATCTGTCGCAGACTTGAGGAATCGATCGTTTTCTTTGCTTTCAAGGCTTTCTAAATCAATAGTGTTTAACAAGTTGGTTGTCAAAGTACAAAGAAAATAATATCTGACTACGGGTCATTGGACCATTTTACCGTTCATCCATTTTCCTTTCAAGCCGTGGCTGGAGAACCTGATAGCTATTTTTCATTGATTTTGATTGGTTATCTTGGGCAATGTAATTAAATCTCACAGGGACGTCGATTAATATCTATTTCCAATGGAAATCGATAACGATTAATTTATCGATTGTTATCGATTACTATCAGGGAGACTTCATTCTGAAGGATTTCAACGTTAAAACGATGTTGTCTGTACGGTATTATTGAGCCGTTCAGTGTATTATATTAGTTTGCATTTCTTTTCCTTAAAGAAAGAAAACAATAACCTCTTTTATTTTAGCTTTAGCGCCGATCGTCGGGCGAGTTCCAAACCAGTTTTCCCGCTTGTTTCCGAAGCTAATATGAGAAATACATGCATGGAAAAAATAAACTGGCTTGTTTTGCTGTGGGTTTTATCGGTGATATCAAGGTTTACTTATTTTTCAAACAAAGTTAGGGATGGACTTACCATTGGTTTAATTACGCTTAGTTGAATGCACTATGAAATAACAGCTTTCATCGAACCAACTACGACCCCTTTTTGTGCCCATGCCAAAGATGGCTGCCATCTGCAGAACTTCCGTTCTCGTGCATATACCTCATTGAAGTAGATTTCAGTCTGAGAGAGACTGCAAGGAAACAAATGCATGATGCAGTCGATAGAGCTAGATTGAATGGACATGTATGTAAGAATCGATTAAAACCACAGAAACAAAAAATGGCACGCGATGAACAATACGCCAGAAATAGTTGCTGAAGTTAAAAATATAATGCTTTGAGACTAAAGCCGCTGGGAATGTCATATACCCTAAACCACAGTAGGGTTCTCAAATAATCAAATCATTGGAGTAAATATACATGTGTAATATAGTAAAAGAAAATGGGTGTGAGAGTGATAACTGCAGGCGAATATGAGGCAAACACATGCTATCTTTAATGTGTAATATGTGATATTTGTCCTATTTGACCCCTATTTTTTTCTTTTTCCCCCACTACGGAGACTGGTCCCAGGCTATGTCATTAAGGATGCAGTTGAGGAGAACTATGAAAGTGATCATGACTCATGATTATTGAATATGCGGTACCCTCATTAGCACTGAATTATCACAGTAAAAAATACCAAATCATTTATGAAAGTGTTTATATAGTTATATTTGTGTACATGCATGAGAAACAAATACTCATGCAAAAGTGAATTTGTATGAAATGTCCACATAAAAGTAATGTTGAAGGTGATCATTATTTCAATTCTGGATCAACATGCATGAGCTTGGTGAGACATGGTTGCCAGTGGCATAGTTTTTTAAAATTCCCAGACTGGCAGTCAAATGTTCACTTTCCCTGACCAAATGAATTGACAATTTGTGCAGATATTAATGGCTTCCAAATTCCAGTCAAAACTTCGTGTACTGGACACAGATGTTGTAAAGCAAAAGACTTCTTTGTTTTCTGTTCAGGGAAAATCTGCTTGGTATGTTTTCATGGTTTGTTCTTTTGTTTTATATGTCATATGTGCCTGCTACACAAAATAAATGCCGAAACTCCCATCACAGCCAACCTGCCCACCTACTTAATGCATGAATGTTTCGTGAATGTAAAGTGCAGAATGGATGGATCTCATAGGAAACCCTATATCTGCTTGTTGTTTGATTTCTTGATACAATATTCTGCCAATCGAACATGTTTAACTTCGGTGAGTATGCAGAAATATGTCACCTCCCTCTGGCTTCTTTGAAAGAGTTACATTTAATTTCCCTGACTTATACTGAAAATCTCTGACTTGACTTACGGGGAATGATTAATTTTCCTCACATGTCACACACTAATATTGTGAGGAGATCCGAAATGGTTTTTTTTCTTTTCAAATATTAAATATGATCGAAAATAGGAGGCCAGCAATAATAAATTTTTGTTATGCTTGACTTAAAAGACACAGTTGTGTTTATGTATAATGCTGCTATACAATGATAATATATTTTACTTGGGATGGTTTTGTGGAAGTAAATGTAATGAAAATTGTAAACGAAAATGTTGTTCAGCAAGCTTGCTGTAAAACCCATTGTTGCTCATGGTGTAAAGGTTGATCGGCTGTCCCGAGTCTTAGGAAAGATATTCTTGAAGTGCATAATTCTTGCTGCCTATCGCTGCATCGAAGAAGATAATTTTGTCTGTAAACTTTAAGGGTTGCCTGATCCAGTCTCGTCGCTTTTGGAAGCGTCGGCAGTCGGTGTTCCCTCTCTTCATCGGTTTCGTTTACAATGTAATTGTAATATTTTGTCGCTGCCTCTGTACATGTTTGTGGTCGCTGTGTTGACGACGTTGCCTTGGTATACCTGCCAACTTTTTCTGAGATGTAGGCGTGAGATTTTTATCCTGGGAGTGCTGGAGTTTTTGAAAACGACACGATCATTTCCGAAGATTCCCGAAGAAGTCCGAAGTCTTCGGAAGACGTCCGAAGTCTGCCGAAGGCGAAGTTATCGAGAAAACGCTTATCCACAAAATCAGAGATCGCGAGGAAGGTATTGTCATTTATTCATTTTACACATGGTTTTCGTTCCTTACATGGGTCTGAGTTAACATATTTTTGGAAATTGTGTCAAGCAAGACGGCAACAACTCACATTTTTCAATCAGGCGTGTGAAATTGGTCCGCAGGCGTGAGCGGGCGTGAGATCGAAGTTTTCAATCCGCAGGCGTGAAACTCACGCCTAAGGCGTGAGAGTTGGCAGGTATACCTTGGCTGTGCTAAAGCGATGTTCTCTGCTTCGCGGTTGTCTTCTTCGATCCGCTCGCCGATGAATTTTAATCGGCGTTCTCCAGAGGAGTTTCAATGGAAAATCTTCCTCGGCGAGGATTTGCAGGCACTTGCTGTGCTTGCAGTTCTGTGTTATTTGGATGGGAAATTGTCCGTGATTCACCGATGGTAAACATTGTTTCACAGACGATGAGTAAACACAACAGCCTTTCATAAATAATACATGAAATGCGCCTTGGTCATCGGCGGCAAAGTCTATGTTGCCTGGAAACGCAAAATGCTCCATGACGTCTTTGGCGGACACCAAGAATATATATTCATGAAAAGATTGACTTATGGCGCATCGAATTTTGCAGCTGGCTAAGACCACGCTCGGTTAGCAGACTGCGCGCGCGCTTCGCGCGTTTATTTTTGGAGTTAGGTAGATTGATGTTATCTGTCCGTCTCACGATGAATCGACTGCTTTGCTGCTAGTTTCCATCAGGCGATGAAGCCAATTCTGCCAATTGTTTACCTGGAGTGTAGGACATGGAAACCACACTGAGAAAATGGTCTCTTTTATGAAAACATAAAGCTGCTAATGAATCGAATAGCACGCCCAAATGCGGACACCCTTCCAAACAGGAACTTTGCTTCTCCATCCCTTGTAGTCCACGGCCCGATTTATGGCCGTTTTATGGGTTTTTATGTAAACGATTTTCTCTACATATATAAGATACAGAATTAAATGAAGAATTAAATGATGATCATCCTTCATTTAATTCTTCTCTCCGCAGTTCACATATATGATTTTCATATATTCATAACTTCATCATCATCCTTTCACAGATTTATAACGAACCAATTCAACGACCTGCTCCCAGTTGGCTTGTTAGCTTACACCGATATCGCAGAGGTCGAGGGTTCGAATCCGTACATCAAGCCTGAAGTTTTTTTCAGGCTTTCTTTTCGCAACTGCAAAATTAAAGTTGCCTATATAACTGCGATGATCATCCTTCATTTAATTCTTCACTCCGCGGTTCACATATATGATTTTCATATATTCATAACTTCAATAAATTATTAGTCAAGACAAAACTAAATTCCCGTATCCTGCTATTTTTCCCTTACGATTCTCGCATCTCGTTCCCATAAACATAGGAAATCCCGCTCCCGCTGGTTATTAAAATTCCCGCATCCCACTCCTGTTTTCAGCCCGCATCCCAAGTATCGCCACGAAAAATAGCCAAATCCCGCATCCCGCCAAACCTATTGTGGACGCTCCTAAACTTCAGGAAGACGCTCCCGATTCTAATCCAGCCGGCGGCCACAAGAAGCAGAGCCACCTGGACTCGAGGTAGAAGTGCTAGTGAGAGTAGACCTCACTATAAACTGTCATGTTCAATAGGGGTTTAATAGAGTTTTTTTACTTGTGTACCAGCATGGAGGCCCGTTCTGGTCAAAATCGGCAAACATTATGTAATTACTTTTAGCAGCATGAATTATTTTTATTATAATTATACCAAAGGTTTTTCATTCGTACCACAAATTATTTTTCAGTGGTACTGCGAATTATTTTTCAGTGTAGGGGACACTCCCATACCCCGCGTCTTCGTTCCGAAAGTCAGCATGTGCAGTACGGGACGAAGACTCGAGGTACAAGATTGTCAAGGAGACTGTTCACTTGGGCACACATGTCACACGGGACGAAATAACGTTTTTCCGTATTTTGTTAACTCGACGGAAACGGGAAGTTGCTTATATCCGTCAAGTTTCCGCCATGCGGAAACATGGTGATCCAGTTTTCCATGGACAAGACGCGTTTCCGTCGTGTCTCCGCGTCGGAAACGAATGATCATGTTTCCGTCACATTTCTGTTGGGTTCAAATTTCCGTCCTTTCTTGTTTTCGTTACGTTTTAGGTGATGTATTTTTTCTCTTTTTTTAACCCATGTCCAAGATCGCATGATCAATGTTTCAACTTTACCTTTGCGTACAATCAAGGTAAATGAAAATAAATTTACCCTCGAGATCGGGCCATTAAACGGTTTTCATTTATTACTTTCGCGCATTGCATTGATACAAAGACTGTGAAGTGTGCGAGGTTTCCATTGCTTTCGATTCTAAGTGTTAAAAATCGCAGAGAATATTTGCCAGGTTGATCTCAATCAGTACTGGCGTAAAAACAAAATGATCTTAGACTGAGAAAACAGAGAGAAAACAAGAGAGAATGGGCTCACGCTCATTGCGATCGTCCTTTTTGGCGTCCATTTTGAAAGTGATTGCAACGGCTTCAATTTGCCAGCTTCGTGGAGTCTGTATATTTTTGCTTTCCGATGGAAAAACAAGTCATCTAAGGGTTGTTATGTATATTTATCGACCCATATAGGCCTTCCGTAATCGATTGTGTGAGACAAAAACTTCGTGATGTGCAAGTAAAATTTGGAAGTTGGAGTCTTTGATTGTGCTAAGGCTATCCAGGACAGACGGAACTATTGCTTGTACACCTGTCAGAAATCTGGAGAACAGCTATTGATGCCGATAAAGTGATTGCTGTGGCGTTTGTTGACTTCAGAAAAGCTTTTGACTGTGTATCTCATTCTATCCTACTGCATAAGTTGAATTTTCAGTTTGGAGTTCAAGGTTCTCTTCTATCATGGCTGACAGACTACCTAACTGATGGAATTCAGTTCTCGGTAGTAAACGGCCAGCACTCAACTGTGCTAAACGTCACTTGCGGGATTTCCCAAGGATCAGAACTTGGCCCAACGTTGTTTGCCTTGTACACCAATGACCTACCAAGTGCTGTTACCTCTGGCTCTGTCTTTATGTACGCAGATGACACCACCGTTTATTGCATCGGGGACACTGTTAATAACACTGTCACTTCTTTAAATAAAGCTTTATCGGAATTGAACAGTTGGTGCCTAGAGAACTCTTTAACCCCTCACTCGGCAAAGTGCGAAGCTATGCTGTTGATGAGAAAACCGCACATCGGGCCGCTAAATTCTGTGACTATTGGAGAGGATCGGATAGAGTTGGTGAAACACTCTCGTCTTTTGGGCGTTACTATCGATGAGAGGCTTTCCTGGTCACGTCACCTTCCAGATGTAAAAAAGAATTTTGTAAACAAACTGAACCTCCTGAAAAGGAGTTCGTTCTTGAGCAGAAACGCCCTATTGGACTTGTACTTCAAGATAATATTACCATCAGTTCTATATGGACTAGTCGTTTCGGGCGGCTGCCCTAATGCAGAGCTTCTACATTCTTTGGAAGCACTTCACCGTAGGGCAGCCAGAATTATATACACTGGCCCCGAGATATGGCTACTGAAGAAGTTTACCGACATTCGAACTGGAATTCTTTAAGCCTCTATTATAAACTTCGATTAATTAAACTACTCCATAGCGTGTTTATTGGTGAAGCACCTACGGCTCTTTCATACTTGCATGACAAATAAACCCTGCACTGCATACAACTTCAGAAGGAGTAATAACATAATCGTCCCGCGTTTTAACTCGCAGTTTCTTAAAGGCTCTATTAGCTATAGAGGCGCTATTCTTTGGAACGCTGTCTCGAGTCATTTTACAGACCAGTTTACTGTTTTTTATCGCAGAGTGAAGAAGGAATCTTATTTTAAGGAACTTGATTTTAGCGCACAGTCGGTCCAGTCGCTGCCCGGGCACTACCAAGATTTAAAATGCTTTTAACTATTTTTATGTTTTAAATGCTGTAGTCAATTTACTTAGAGGCAACTAATGTAAATTCATTTTAACCTTGTATTTTTTTAAAATTTATTTTTATTTATTTCTTTATTTGTTTCTTGGTTAGAATCTTACTGTATATTTTTAGAGTTTTAATTGTAGGTATATTTTGTAAGTGATCTTGCTCTTATTTTTTACACAGTTTGTAATCATTTGTAATCATTTTTACACGACCCCAAAAGCTTTGAGCTTTAAACCATATCGTGTTTAAATAAAGGATATGTATCTGTACAGGATTGTGATGGAGAATACAGATAGTAAGACGAGGTAAGCTGCCCTGGTCCCATATCTAAGGTTGTTTAACTAGCCTGAGAAAACAGTCGACATTTCGCGATGCCACCACCTGTACGAGTCGCTTCGGAAGAGGTTTCTTTTACAGGTCGCATTCCACAGGTCACGGTTAATCGTCGAATTTCACCTGTGCCGAACTAATGCGAGAGTTACATGTAAATTTCAATCAATTGAATTCGACGACTTTCACCATATCTGCGACTGAAACTGTCGAAGATTCGACTTAGGATCGACTTATGATTCAAACGTCACATTTGACAATGATACCGCCCAACAAATTTTAAACGTGCTAAGGATATCCTTTTTCATATTATTTATCGTTTTTCTTTTGGAGCATTTTATTATTAAAAACATGAAAATTATTTTTATTTTTTCACGATGTTCCGGGAGAAACGGACGGCCTTGACAATGATACCGTAAACGGTCATGCAAAAACTACGTCTAAGAGAAACGGTAGCCGGTCATTTCGTTCCATGGTCAGATTGTTCCAAGTCAGATCGTTCCAATCAATAGTCAGATCGTTCCATAAAATAGTCAGTTCATTCCACAAAAAAGTCAGTTCGTTCCACAAAAAAGTCAAGTAAATTTTTCTACATTTGTTGAGTGAACTTTATCGAGAAGAAAAACGTTTCGTTCATACCACAAGCTGAAAAAATAATAATCGATCCAAAGTCGATTCCATCCATGCTAAGTCGTTTGATAACAAACAAGAAACGATTTCAGCCATCCACGGGCTCTAACATTTAAACCGCCGCTTTAAGAGCTTTTGAGCTGAAATCGATCGATGGTTTTGAAAGATATAGCACAACGAGTAAAAGCTCTGCCGTTCTAAAGGTACAGTATTTCGAAGCGCTTATAACCTAAATATTTCTTTTCAACGTCAGTTTCATGCAAATTTTGGCAACAACTTTGCGGGTTTCGAATTACAATCTCGATTTTATGGTAATTTGTCAGGGGCACCTAACGTCAATTTTTGGAAAATATCTGTTCAAAAGACGATTTGAGATCTAGAATTTTCGGAACATTTGTTGTAAAATTTCTTACTTGCCTGCCTCTCATATAGGATTTTCGAACATCTAAAAAATGGTGTAATTGCCCATTTTTAACGGATTTTTACCCTAATAAGGTCAACTAGAATTTTAGTAGCCTGTTCCAGGCGTCCAGATAGTGGGGAGCGGTGCGAAGTAAAAAGGAGCGCGAAAAAATAAAAGCGAGGGAGGGGGAGAGGTGAGAGAGGGAACGCCTGTTAGATT